AGTTATTTCCCCAACCCCGTCACCCCCGTGATTCCCCCCCCCCCCCTCCCCCCCCAAGCATTTTGTTTTTTATGGTTTGTTGGGGTATGGGGGGGGGGGGGTGGTTGGAGCGATGTGATACTTTCCTGCTTCATCTGCCCCGCCCCCGTATGAAAGAAAATCTGTATCATACACGAACAAATCGTGTGGGTGCGTGGTCGCGTGCCTACAGCAGCGAGTGGTCTTCTGTGTGTCTAGGGGTGTTTTTCGCCCAACGCTTGTTCACCGTGCTTGCTTGTAGATGTATAGACTAGTTTCATCTCGCTTTTCCACATAATGTATTGTCATTATTTTGTGTCTCGTATTTATTTCACTTTTTTTTTGTGTTGATTTATCTGTTTTTTTTCTTGCTTCTTTTGGCAGTATTCACGTGGTGCCCCTTTGTTGGGGGGCAAGTCAGGCTGTGACGAGCTCGCTTCACGTCGTACTAGTTTCACGGATGGTAGAAGAAGAAGGTACTGGCTGGGCAGAGAGCGGAACGTATTTTTCATTCGAACGCGACAGCAAGAAAGACACCCACAACATAATCATGTTTCAATCCGATAGAAAGCTGGACTACTTGTACAACGTTCCTGGTGATTAGGTCTATCAACTGTTGTGCGAAGAGAGTGAATCGCGCTTGACGGACGGTGGGAACATTGTTACCCTTCATGACGGGGGTCCCCTCAAGTGTCTGACCATCCTCTTTTGTTCAGCATTTTGGTTTACTGGTGCCCACACCACGCAGCAGCAGCAGCAGCCTGCCTGCCTTCCCGTGTCGTGCTACCGAGCTTTTGACACCGGAAACAGACCATTCGCTGCTGTTGCACACACGCACCCACAAGGCTAATCATCTCAATTCTTTCGCACAACGAGCGGGTTGAACAGCAACAACAATCAAACTCGGATAGATGACATTTCCAGCGGTCGGTATATTCTCCAATTGATATTCTCGGATCAACTGACTCAGGACAGGAAGACGTCCTCTGTTCACTTTTGCACCAACCAGTCGTTCTCGCCGAAATGATTTCATTGGCGGAACTATGCGGCGGGAATAGTTTCTCGATCTGAATGAATTGATCGCGCGTGTTGACTCGAAGAGGCACCACGGGCTCCCCTTCTTTATCATCATGTCTTGCCCCCCCGCATGATGCGGCTCTCGGGGGTAACACAGCAACTTCGAGTTGGACGAAGATAGCACCGTGAAATCGAAAAAACAGTACGTACTGCACTCACACACATGTACACAGAAGACTCACGGCAGAAAGCGCAGCCGTGTGCGACTCTCGCTCTCACACCCAGGAGAAATTCGCCCATCTTGTTAAAAAAGAGCGGTGGTACCAGTTACTTGCAAAGGTCACGAACAAGCGCACGCACCGTCCATTTAACAAACAATAGTGAGAGAAAAAAATGCATGGCGGCTCTACCGACAGTTTCAAAGTTCTAAGGCTACACCAAAAGAAGTGTAGTGGTGGCAAGAGAACACCCAGTTTTGGTACATGGACTTGGTAGAATCAGTCATGTACGTCTCTGTACTATTGAAGCGTCGGGTTTGGCAAACAAACCATGTGCTTTCATACATCGAAAATCGTAGCCACCCCGTCTAGATCTAGCTATTCCTGACGACGTCGTCGCTGCCAAGTAAGGCAACGCGTCCGCTTTTCTATTGGTGCACGCTGCTGCTGCCGCTGCTGGTAGAAACAAGCACACCATAATCATTTGCTCGATTGACGGCCCATCATCTCCTCCCGATGCTCTCCAAGACAGCCTGGTCGTTCGCCACCTTCTTCAGGTCCGGAGGGTCCACGCAGAATCCGGTTTCAGACCTGTCAAACGGAAGGGGGGGTAGTTGAGGCGGCGGTACGAATGGGGTCACTTAGGAGGGAGGGCACAAACCGCATTTGTGTTTTTATAAGTCGCCATACGGACACATAGTACCAGCATTCAAACAGCCTCTAGTTTTAGCTGAAGCTGCTGGGCTACAAATGGCACCGCGATCATTTTTCCTCGGGATTTTTATCGCACCCCGGTGTCAGCTCCCCGACCGGTGCCATCTCTCCGACCCCGGTGCGGAAATGCAATTTAAATCATGTCGTTTACTTGTTTTTTCAAGGCACCCCGGTGCGATCTCTCCGACTATTGCGGTAGTTCCTCTCGTGGGCTAAAAATGGCATCCATATCGGTTGTAGTGTAGGGGTTCTTATCCGGGCTTGTAAGCGGTGCAATGTTGAGCACCAAGTTGTGAACTGACAAGTTCTATAGTAGTGCGGCCGCAAATCTGCAGTTGGGTGTGTGCCAGTGTAAGGTGCCGGTTCGCGTCGGGTTAGAACCAACTGAGCGGAGGTTCTAATCATGAGACAACAACAACAACAACTACAACTACAACCACGACGACGACGACATTACCTCTTCGGGATTCGAGGGCTACCGTACACAGAAACACGCCAAGTTTCCCACGCCTCTAGCAAGCACACACTCTTTGCGTCAAGGGCAGCAAGCGAAAAATACGTGTGTATCTATCGGTTACGAAAAAGAAGGGCAGCAGTGCCGCCTCCCCAAATTGAACCGGGTCGCGCGCTTTCCCTCCCTGAGCGCTCCCAACTAGGAAAAGGCAGGGACATGGCGCACACCGAAGGCGAAAACGAAACGTATTGACAAGGCTGATGCGGTTGCGATTTCGGATCAGATACATGGATCGTTCGTCAAACCTGAGGCACAGGGTGATGCTATCCACCGCGCTGATGATGGCCCCGTCGACTCCGTTGTCCCTCACGAAGAACCTGTTGCCGTACTTGTTCTGCAACCTCTGCCAAAACCTGCTCGAGCAAAAAAAAAACAAACATGAAACGAGGGGATTGGGCCACCAATTATATCCATCTAAAAAGACTATTCCTTACTTTATTTTGAGCAAGGCGCAACGTTGTATCTACAAAGGGATTGGCCCGCCGATCCTTCTCCATCTAAAGCTATTTTTTTTGTTTTTTTCGCAAGGCCCAAGGCTGTATCTACAAAAGGGATTGGCCCACAGATCCTTGTCCATATTTTTCATATTCGCAAGGCGCAAGATTGTCCCTACAAAGGGATTCGGCCACCGATCCTTCCACACTTAAAACTATTGTTCATTCTCGCAAGGCCCAATGTATCTACAGAACTAACGAAAAAATTGTGCTGGTTGTTCATCACACGGGACTCACTGGGGAGGCAGGCCCAGGCGCAAGCCGTCTCCCACGTTGAAGTTGAGGATGTTCACTGCGATTTAATTCGCCCGCACAGCAGACGCACGGCCAGAGGGGAAGAAGGACAGGGACAAGGGCGGGCGTCATTCGCGTCTCGCTCGAAAAAAAAAGTAAGCAACAAGACCAAAAAAAAAAAAAAAACATCCAGCTTAAAGCTGGTAAACGTTTTTTTTCGTTCCCAAGATGACAAATCACTAAAAGTAAGCGATGAAAATAAATGCTTCAATGAATAGAAATAAGACCGTGGGATGAAATCAATGACGAGGTGTGTGGCGGGCTTTGGCATGTGTATTGAAGCCGGAGAATTTTTCGCAACGGCACGGCGCAAAACGCACCTTCTCCCCGTACACAGCCATGCGTGCGGAGGATGCGGTGCAACAACAACAACACGGGAAAAAAACGAGGGGGGCTACACTGTGGTAGTAGATATACTGTACCTTGATCCTTTCGGAAAAAAAAAAAAAAAAACTCGGAAGAAATCAGAGTATTCACAGAGCAACTCATGAAGCACCGGGATCGAGGGGGAAAGTTAAAGTTCCGTCATGTCCAAGGCGACAACTCTGGCCCGAAATTTCCGTCACGAAGGGTTGGACTACGGCTCTCACCTGCCCCCGATTTCCTGTCGTCATCGCCGCTGTCGACGACCATAACGATCGTCTTGTCATCCACCTGTTATCATCGCCGTGGTCGTTTTGTTCTGTTCTTAAAAAGTAGCTTTCGTTGGTTGTGGTATTGTAGTATGCTACACCAGGGAGAATATATCGTCGGGTTTAGATGGCCGTTTTCTTCGGTTGACCACACAAAGACCGCTGCGCCAACAAAAATCGTGCGGTTGACGCCAGGAAGACAAAAATAAACAGCCCTCTCCGCGCACGAGACAAACACACACCTTGGTCCTCACTACATCTTCTGCCGCAGCACACTTCGGCTACAAATAATACTCTGCGGCGCAATGCGATTACTGTTGCGCACACTTCGGCTACAAATGTTCTGCCGCACGTTGCGACTATTCTTCCGCATACTTCAACCATATTTTATTCCGCCGCACATTGCGACTATTCTTCCGCACACTTTAACCATATTTTGTTCCGCCGCAGATTGTGACTATTCTTCCGCACAGCAAGTTCTGCCGCACCCACCTTCCAGTAGTCCTTGACGGCGAGACCAGGGGTCTCCGGGTACTTCTGGCAGAGCAGCCTCAGCCGGTATCCCGTGGCCTTCTCGAGGTCCTCCAGTTGCTAGTATACAGCAGACACGGGGACAAACAACAGGCGGACACAAAGCTGCGATTGGACGCTGCCGTACGCGCAGTCGTTGTTTCTGATGTATTAGGGGCAACACAAGGGGAGGGGGCGCGCGTTCTACCTTCACAATTTCGGTAGTGTAGAGGGGAAATGTGGGCGCGCCAATCAACCGGGGGCCACGTGGTTTCCCCGAAGCAAATCATGAAGGATTGGGAGCACCCTTCACGTCGCAAAATCATGTGATTTCCAACTTTTTTCCTTCCCTGATTCGTGTATCCCTTTTGACCTCACACTGCTGTGCATACGTACGATCACACACACGATCCACACACTACAGTACCAGGTATTCAAGCTCCGCGATACGTGATCTTCACATGTCTTGGCGTGATAGCGAAGGCCGATCGGTGACCCAGAAAGGGTGGGGAACAAAGATGCACGAAGACTGCTGTGAGGTACAAAAGTTACGCGGCGATTGCTGTAGTTTTTGTAGAAGGCAGGGAGAGGGAAGGGGCGGGGAGGGGCCGACTGGAAGCATTCTCCGAAAAAACTGAAGCGCCGTGGCTCAGAAACCAGCAAACCCCTCCGCAGAAAAAGCGCGAGAATCTCAATCAATCTTCTTCGCCAAACAGCCGGAACTGCTGTGAGGAGTAGGCTGCAGCGGCCGCCCACCTTGTTGATGCGCTTCACTTGCCCCTTGGTGAGCATGGACACCAGGTCGATCACGTTCGTCTGCTCCTTGGGCAAAAGGTCCTGCAGCGAGCAAGACCGGAAGAACAAAAAAAAAAAAACCAGGGATATCGGTTGTGGCGGTTCCGGTTTAACGATGCCGGTTGAACGATGCCGGTTGCCCTTAATAATGGCGGTGGAATCGCGTGACACAGGTAGAACTTGTATTCAAGGTTGCTTCGTACTCTGAATAACGCCGGTTGTTTAGAAAGGCTGGCCCGTTAGACCACTAAGTCAGCGGTGACTGCGTGGTCTAATGGGATAGCCTTTCCAAACACCGGTTGCTCGCTGCACCGTCGGTTCCAAGGGGCTGGCTGGCACCTACCGGCATCTATTGGTGGGACCACAACTGCAATAGCACAACGAGCAGCAACAGTGACAGAGCATCGAGAGCCGGGCCAACAGCGGTAGCAGCAGGGGGGCGTGCGTCCAAGCAGGGGCAACAGCACTCAAAGCAGCGGCGGCGGCAGTGACAGCGGCAGTGACAGCGACACCAGCAGCACGAACAAACCAACAACACAACACCTACGTACTACTCCATACACGGCGCACATCACCACCAAAAACACAATCCGCATAGCAAGGCCACCAGCAATCCTCTCTACCACAACACGTCGCCGCCGTTTCCCGACACGAGTTTGCTGCCGTCTAGACTTACCGGTCTGTTGACGCCAGCCTTACGCGCCTGCGCCTCGAGCGGGGCGACCGCTACCAGCGCCGGCAGAGCCACCCCGGCGCCAATCAGACCGGCCGCTGCCCTCTGAAGGGCCCCCGCGCGGGTCACCGGTCCGCTGGGGTCCTGCCGCGTTCGACAAGCGGTAGGGATTTGTAGGGGGTGGTGGTGGTGGTGGGGGGTTGCGTGTCTTAGCGGATATGCCACTGCCCACGCGTCCACGAGAGGACGGGGCTTTGTCGGGGGGGGATGGGCCACAATACAATCACCAGAGTTGGAGCTGAGTTCAGGCAGAAGGGTGGAGTTCTATGGGTACGATCCTCGCCAGGGAAGGTGTTAGAGCAGTACGGTGTTCCTCCTAGTACGGGGGTAGATGCCATGGTTGGGGACGCTCGTGGCAATCTAATAGGCCGACAATTGTCGTCGTAGTATGGCCACGTTTGAGAGAGTGCGCCAACACACATGTGCGAGAGAGTTTTAAAAAGGAGAGAGAGAGAGAGAGAGAGAGAGAGAGAGAGAGAGAAAGGGAGAG